ATTAATCACGAATACGGAGACAATGATACGTTACGAAAAGACAGTAGCGCAATTGTTCGCATTGCTAGAGAAACGATAACGATAAGCGAGCACGGTGACAAAATATTTACCAGACTCAGCCTCTCCCGAGAGAGGTATGTAAATGATTCATTCACAAGTCGCTTCTGTGCAGCTCCGTATTCGAAGTTAAAGCACCGGCCGATAAAATGTAATTATAATCTCCGTGTACGATCGATCCACATATCGAATCAATGTATAAACAGGCTCGTAAGCTTGAACCATCGCGGCTAAAAAATATTATCGTTAACATTTCATGAATCTCCAACGACTAATAATCTGCCAGTTGCTTGTTCTGTCCTTGCTTTCTAAAAATCGGAAGATCAGGTCGCGCCGGGTCAATGCTGAAGACATTCGCCAAAGATGGCCCGAAGAATGTCACAGCGTGTTTCACAGTTCGTCGAAAGAGTTTTACATCTTGCATAGAGCACAGCTTTACGATCGAGTCTTGCGGATGAAGGCGTGGACGCAGCCTGGCTATACGTGACCGCGGCTTCTCTCATTCTCCGATTACATATTTCATCGGAGCCGAACGGCGCACCGTAGTCTGACATACCATAAACATTCGGAGCCCCACCGCTGCTGTTATCGGCATCTCTCGTTATTTATAACGCAATTGTACGTATTAGAGATACACTCGTAAGTAATGTCGCTTTTTGACACTGATTTTACAAAATTTTATTTCACGTTGACCATGATGTTTTATAAGCTTCGTCGCTGATTCTTGAATGGTTTGTTTGGGACCGGCTTCAATTTCAGCCCCAAGATCCTTGTCAAATTCCATAGAATCTTCCAGATTTTGGCCCGTCGGAAAGATCGAAATCACCGTTTTGGAATTTTTCTTTAACCAATGCTGACACGTTCTGATATCCGAGGTACGAGGATAAATAGAATTAATGGCGCTTGTAGCACTAGCGGCATTGCTACCTTTTCGAAATTCGTAAAGCATCTTATCCACATTTCGATCTTCCATTCTTAACAGTACACCCAAATTCTTTAAAAATAAATCACGTCCACGAACAAGGTGGCAATATTTATTCGATCTGGAAAAAACGACACTACTTATGGACACCCCTAATATCTCCGATAGCGAGGACTGATGAACTAATGTAAACGAGATAACGAATACATTTGTCAAATATATTTTTCAGTATTTTCATCGCACTTCCATTTAATATCGAACGTACAGACAATCTTCTGCTTTGCGGAATTAATTAAAATCCATCCAAACAGATAATTGAGCACGTTCCATCTTAAAATGTGCGATGTAGAATGGTAATTATATTCGCGTGTTATCTAGTCGATAAGCAAACTTAATCTATGGCATACGAAATCATCTATTAACCGAAGAGTGAGTTGGTGTTATAAATAAACTGAAAAAGAACACAAATGTTTAAAAAACGTCTCCAAGACGTCTTTTACTCCCGTTTTAGATAAATATTTTAAGCCTTAAGAAATTGACCGATCACAGTCAAATGTGAAGAGAATAATCGATTGTGATTCAAGTCAATGTTGTCTAAATGTTGTCTGAGAAACTATCTCTATTTAGAGAGTAGCATATCGATCAAAACGGGCTCCACATTTGGAATTTTACGATGATCGATGGATCGTGGCCTCGAAGGGCCGTGTGCAGTCACGTGGCAAATATATTTTTAGAAATAATTCGATCGAATACCCGTCTTCTGCGTTGAAATAACCACAAATCTGATCCAATGTAGGTCGTATCATACGAACGAAACTCGATATTATACAATGGCGAGGCTCAATACGGACGGCATAGAGAAAAATGTGCGCGAAGAGATAGAGTAACTCCGATCGAGTCTGGATCGAGGTGTTGGGGGCTGCGGTTAGTTAATCATTGCAAAAACTTTGCACGTAGAGGAAAACGTCTGGTGAATATTCTGACATTTGCGAAGAAAGAAAAAAACAAAAAAAAATGGTAAAAAGTCCGAATGGACTGAGAGTTGAATTAACGATCGTTAAATTAAACGAAGACCGAGTTGAGAAATTAAGAGTTTGCGAGCCAACTAGTCATTTCTGATAAATCACGATAAGAGATTACAGTTAAATTGCAGGTGGATATCAATCTGAGAAAACGGAACAGCGGACGGTATTCACGCGATCGTCGACGAATCTTTCGTAGTTCGGAGGAAAAAATATTTCTCTCATTTTTTCGATGCAGTTTTGAAACGCAGCCGATGGCCCAATGAAACAACTTGTTCTTGATTAATTCCCGAAGAAGTTGAATTCTCTCCCATTGGGCTATCGGCTGCGCCCAAAATTGGGCATCGAAGAAAAGTGTTTAAACCGTTTTGAGGCCAAGTATATATATATATATATATATATATATACACACACACACACACACATATAAATACGCACGGATCATAACCGAATATTGATATTACAAGTTGGCCGGTTTGGTAACAATCTCCGACAGATTAGATACGAACCTCTCGGATTATCGATGTGGCCGACATGTTGCCACGATAAATTTTCCTCTCGATAAAACGTGAGAGAAAACGATCAACATTTCCATTATGTGCTCTCCGAGAAGACTCGAATAATCGAATGCGAATTGGTTCTTAATTAGGAATCATAATCGTGGGATAACATACGGGGGATATGATGCGACGTGAGAAAAATGTTCCTTTCTCCACCGAATGCCTTCCTGCTCCGTTGGACGTTGGAATTGTCAACAAACGAAAGAACACAATTGCTTTTATGACTGCCGTTAGCGATCAATTCGGCCATTCGTACTCGAAATAAACAAAACGAACGTATCGAGATTGTGACAAACAAATCGTGACGCACACTGAGAAAAAGATTTCTTCAGATTTAATCAATTTCATTGCATCCAAACAAATTTCATTATCGGCATGCGCCGAAAAAACTAATGTTTCGATTAATAAATATGATTGTTAGACTTTTTAACGAATGTGTATCTTTATCTTGAATAAAAAATTTGCTTGAAACGAAGGATAATTTTCTCGAAGAAATTGTTTCATTTTACATATTTATTGCAACCAAATAATGTTTTATTTGGTTAAAAGATATTATTTCAAATAATAGCGTTCCCTCAAATAATAAAGGTTTCTTGAATGAGACAGTAAAATTTTTACTCAAACAAATAATATTTCGTATATGTTGTTTCTATGAGACAAATTTCAGTCAAACGAATAGAAATACTAAAGAAACCTTTTTCTTCGTGCACGTACGTATGTCTCTTTCTCTCTACCTCGCGAAAAAATCGACGCATCATTTAATTGTGCCGATAATATCTGTAAATTTTATCACTTAATCCCATGCAATCGTGCACGGACGAATAGGTGGCAGAGTGTAACGATATGCGTGCAAACAATAATACATACCGAGATCTGCCATTCGGCTGCAATACATTCTTTTTAATGATACGGAAAGATAAAACGAGCTAGAGGGGGAGAGAGAAAGAGAGAGAGAGAGAGAGAGAGAGAGAATTTTTTCCTCCATCGAGCGCACACCGCTCGTTCTTTATCCCAACGTCCGTCCGTATGTTTTTACGGGGCAGCGAAAACCGATAACTTCGCGAAGTAATAAAATATTCAGTGCATCGGGGAGCGATCAATCGTTTACTTAGCGATTCCACCTTATTGACGCAGTTTCTATCTAATCTAACGAAAGAAGAAAAAGAGGAAGAGAGCGAGCGAGAGAGAGAGAGAGAGGGGGAGGGGGCGAAAGAAAAAGCAGGAGCGAGAAAGTGCAAAGTGTCTCGCGCTAAGCGACACCGCGAATTATTCAAATTCGACGAATTGTTCGAAACGCAACGGCCCTGCGAAGAATCTACGGTCGCAACGTACGTTAGAATGCGGCTTTTTCTCGTCTCGTCGTGTGTCCGTCGCGTGTTCGTCGGCACGGCACGCCGTTTCGTGAGACCCAACGCCGAAATTGGACATCGCAAGGACGAAGGGGATCGAAATCGCGTGTCGAACGTTGCGGCGCGCGCGGTGGTGTCGAACGACAGCGAGTCGGATCGTGAGATCTTTCAAACTCGGCGCGCGCGAAGCAGAAGAACACGCCGCCGGCAAGCGGCAGGAACGTCGGTCGCGCGTTAAAACGAGAACGAGAAATCGTGGCACTCACCATTTGACAGGCGAAACGATTCCCTCGGTCGCTCCGGTACTCCTGCAACTGCACCGACTCGTACTGTTCCACCTTTTTCGGACGCGAAAGGGAACGTCTTACGACCGATATCACCACAGCTGGGCCCATCCGGCCATCTTGCCGTATAACAAACGTGTACTACGGCGCGCTGGCGTGTTTTGCCGTTCATACCTCCCCCGCGGTCGGCAATTGCGTAATACTGCACGCCTTCTCCCTCCCGCGACCGCGGCATCACCCTTCTCCCTCGCGCTTATCCGCCGCCGGAAAAATGATCGATTGGTAAGATATCGCGGGATGGAAATCGGATTGGAGTTCGCGTTGCGCTCACGAGCGGCGCTACTGCACGGTCGAATGAAGCGCGGAAAGAGAAATTTGCGCGAGATACGGTCGACGATTAACGCGCCGCTCGAGAAACCGATCTTTTCCGACGGAATCGCTCGTATCTCCGGGAGAGTCAATTCATACTTCAACGAATAATACTTTCGTTGCTCGAGTAGATCCTCACTCTGCGCTTAAACCGGACGGGAACTGGACGTATCGTGTCGCATATTTACGTAAGATATCGGCGCGTGTTTCTAATATTTCTCCTTATCGGGAGGTAAGCCGATCTCTGCGACCAGCTCAAGGGAAGTCGACTTTCGAAACTTTTACTAAAATGACGGTGTCGCGAACGGGTCACTACAGCGGATCAATGAACTTGTCTATCAAAAACACGCATTTGCGACGAACAGAAATTAATAATGATAATAATAATAATAATAAAACGATTGATAGAATAATAAACTGTTAAATACCGATGTCAATTATAATGCACGTGAATGGATTCGTTCGTTTATTTGGCTGATACAAAACAAGTAGTAACATGGTAAAAAGTTGCTTTCTATCGACATATTATTTACACAATATGTATAATATGTAACAATATTTACAGGTTTCACGGAACGAGGACAGTTAACAGATTAGTTAACTGCTGCCGAACCAATCCGATCCCATCGCGCCGAAAAATGCGGCAGCGCCGGATTTTATTGTTGCACTAGCAGAATCATTCTTCGTATTTTCTTTCGCCGATACTTTCTTGCGCTAGAAGAGTAAATGTGCGTTTTAATTAATGAAAAGACAAACTATTATTCGCCACAAATTCACATAAATCGTTAGTGTCATCTTGTAGCCTTGCAAGAGAGAAAGGATAAATAGAAATGTCGCATGTACGTCTAGCTAGGAATATTCGACTATCTCAATTACGTTTCTCGATCCCGAGAGGGAAAAATTTCTCATATATGTATAATTATATATAGGATATACAATCATATATTATATATATTTATATATAATCATGTATAACTCATTATGATTATATAATATTAATATATAAATTAAGATAAAAATTATATAAAAAAATATATATATATATATATAATATAAAATATACAATTATGTAAAATATTAATATATACATATTAATATATAAATTTTATCATTACTTCATATATAATTACATCTAATTATATATACATGGAACATTTTTCCCGGGTTACCAGTCCGAATACGTGATACGTAACACGGTTTCTATATTAAGATGTTACTTCGTGTTAAAATAAAGATAACGTAGTAGCCGACAGCACAGAAAACAGCTAAAGTCATGTAATCCGCGTTAATCCCATATTGATTAATCACGTTAGCTCAGAATCACGTCATGCAAGGACGGCCGGCTTACCCAAAAATTTACAATTCGCGAGCAGACCTTGGCCTTATTCAAAGGCCGATATCTAGGAGCAAGTGGGTATTTAGTAAGTGACGAAAAAAAGTAGAACTTTGGTCATTGTACAAGATCGCGCGGGATCGCGATAATCCATGGATCATCCGTACGCACCTGCGCCTTATCGGGCATCGTCACCGACATGAGCGGCAGATTCCTCGCGGGGGCGGTGACGGTCAACGGTGGGAACCACGGTGCACCTGTGCAAACCGCGAGCACCGCCGGTGGCTCGGATTTTCCGCCGGCCTCGCTGCTGGCATGTTCGTTGCGCGCGCCCAAGGTCGAGTGCAACTGTTCCAAGTGGGACACCAAGTTTCCGTATATCAGCTGCAAAAAAAAGTATCCTCGTGAGAATTGCTCGTTACACGGTTGAAAAGTTGCGTCTCTCCTTGCACGTCGACGTATGTACCAACGTATGTACCAACCAAAGATCGCTGAACGGCTTTTCTCACGTTAATGCGAACGAATGGATCGAAAACGTCGTAGTCGAACGGATCGATCTTGGCGAGCACCGCATCGCAGGCTCTCGCCGACAGCTCGTTGAGAGCTTTGTTTTCGCGCGCCACCATGAGCAACGTACTGTACTTTATATCGTAAAGCACTTGAAACGCTTGCTTCTGCCTGAGATCTACGTTCTCGGCTGCGTTAAGGTAATGATTAAATAGTTCTGTAATAATGTTTTCAATGATTTGTTGTAGCACTCTCCTAAAATTAAGAGAAACAAAGGGAACATGTGAGATACTGCGTGCAGGACGCGCGTCGCACGACGTGTGTGTGTGTGTGATTTCGCGACGTTAATCGATCTCTCTCACTCACTTCGGTAGCGTGTGCGGTATGATCCTGTTCAGATCCCTGCAGACAGCCGTCAGGAACTTTTGCAAAGGTATCGACGGCTGATACGGCACTAAGATCTCGGACTTGATCCGCTTCCCCTCCCCCGACTCCTCCTCTATGGCCACCTTCTCCCACTCGGAGACGATCCAGTGAACACGGAGACCGTCGATCGGCTCCTTCAATATGTACTTCTTCTTATGCTCGGATATTTTGGCCTTATAGACGTCGGCCCATACAGACCACACGCGAGTACTTTCCTCCTTCAGACCGTCGCAAACGGCTCGCCACTTCACGTTCGCGACGATGCCGGATGCTTTCGACGGCATCGTGAAACACTTGGTCAAGTTCGGGCACAACGTCGTCAAGGCGAAGAGGAATCTCGCCAGTACGATGGCGTTTATATCGCGCTGACCGTGCTCGGGCCTGCCATTGACGCATGTATCCTTTATAAACCGCGTGAGATCCTCGATCATGTCGGTGCTGACCGTCTGCAGGTGCTCCTGAACCTCGTTGCGATCGGAGAACGAGTTCGCGATCAAGGACACGCTCGCCGCAAACAAGCTATCCTTGATCGTCGTTACTCGCTCGGTCTCGTACAGGTAATGCTCGAGGTCGGAGAACAACGCGTGCAGACTGTCGTCGAAGTTCTCGCAAAGTTTCATCACGTTCGGCGAGTAGCCCGTAGCCTTCATCAGCAGGGACCTCTTGTTATCCAATCCGCCGTTTTTCGTCAGCTTCTGCGGAATGTCCGTGGGCGAGTCCTTCCACACGAACCATCGCAGATCGTGCTCCGGGAATTCGAACTTCTCGTGGGCTACCTTGTCCAGCAATTCCACCATGTTGGATTTCAAATCGGCGAGCGCATCCGTCCATTTGTCCATTATGATACCTGTTGATGAATGATCGTTAATTATTGAAGCAAGGAACGGTTCTTTTCGTTTTTTTTTCTTTTATGTGTGCATGCGATTACACTTTGCCCGTTTGGTTATGATGGGTTGGAAGAATTCCATCCAGAAGCTTATCCTCGGCAGGGACAACTCTTCCCATATGGAGTTCCAGTTTTCTGGTAGATTCACACTCACCGCTTCTTCCCGGACGTTGTACAGGCCTTTAACAGAAACTATTAAATTTAACAATTTGGTGACCTCGCGAGTGGAAAAGCCATCGACCCAGTTCAGCCAGGACTTAACGCTCCCTTGGAGAACCGTTAAAGGGAAGCTTGTCGGCACATCCTGAACGAATGGTTTGTGACTTTTCGAAACGGATGGCAGGAACTCTTCGAGTAAATCCTGGTTCAAATCGAGTTGCGTCAGCAAGCGATACGCTTGTTGATCCTTTATGTCTGTTATGAACTGCAGAACCAAACCTCCCGGTGCATTGTCTGCATCTGCAATTACGTGTAAAATATATATATTTCCAGATAAGTCAGTGCTTTTCAGTTTTAAATATATAATTCGGAAGTAAACAAAGTACTTACTTATGAAGCAAGAATATATCAAGTGAACGGTCTGTATAAGTATTTTTATGCAAAGCTTGAGCTTATTTTTCACACTGCTGTGACTTTCTTCCTTAAGAACAGTCTCGATGGCATGATTTCTTGTGGATATCAATTTTTCTAATAGGTTCACAAACGAAGACTCGTTTAAAAATACGAGCGAAGCCAAACAATTTGCAGCATTCTGTAAAAGGCAAGAAATATACCATTAACAATCAACGTTTGAACGTCAAATGTAATTTATCATTTGTATACCAACTATGGTGGAGACATCCAATGACTGCAATATCTTGTTACACTCGTTACATATAATGTTCTTAAATTGAGTGATGATATCCCACTGTTTGGAAACAATTGGATATTTACGAAACAGCTCCGCGCTGCCTATTTCAAACATCAAACTGTAATTTATATGTTGCGCTATTATGTATAACTGTGTAGCGAAGAGCAGGTTCTGAGTCTCGATACTCATCCAGATGTACTGTGGAATGTCTATCAGAATCTTAATCTGAATGATAACAGAATCCAATATGTGTTCTTCCCTCCTACGAAAAGTCATAAATCAGACTCAGGCATTCCTATAAACCGTTTCATCTTCGTATTCGCATATAAATAACATGCAGATACAGCAATGCCCAAGAAAGGAAACCTGTGCAGCTTATCTTCCATCGGCTCAGTTTTAAAACCAATAAGATACTTCTTCTGTAATTCCTTAAATTTGTCCTCTATGTTAGCAATTTTTGAGGTGACTTCCTCGGACGTTATCTTCATTTTTCCAATAGTGTCAGCGGCCAATATCAAATCCCGATATCTTTCCCTGAAAAGTCATCGATAAACATTCATTGACATGTTGCCAGAGCTTTCGGTATAACCTTTCACACACTAATTGACACACATTCTTCTGGAAATCCCAATTGACAATAAGACGAATCGTCGAATTCCGTGCGATTGAAATAACAGATTTATATTATACAAATTAAACAAAATATTTAGACTATATAGTTGCAAATTGGGCTGCACGGAGTTGTGTAAATTGTATCATACCCGACTAATGTTCGTAGTTCTATTTTCTTTCTATCACTTTCCAGTTGGATTTTTTTTTTAATTTCCTCGATCTCCTTAATGGTGTGCTCCTCGAATAATTTATTTATGTCTAAGTCTAAATAATTTGTAGTTGTCATGTTTTTGACAGTTTTCCCTTCGATGAAAAGGTCCCACGTAAGCTACACTACACACCACCTCGGTGCTCCCGGATGAACAGTCGTCATCTTCTTTACCGTACGACGATAGCGTCTCCATCGATCTAATTACGTTCCCGTCAGTTGGCGCTATCGAGCCGCTAATTAGGACGTCGAAAATAAAAAAATTGGCAATTAAATATAATCGATTACATCATGAAAATATCGAAAATGAACTACCGTTTGACAAATAAAGCCTTCAATCCATTAAATTGTACAAATTGAAAATTAAAAGGTTTTTTAATTTGCTCTTGTGACGTAAAATATGATAATATTTAGACTCTCCAGCCGTATTATTTGAAAATACGAAGGTTTTTCAATTTATCGTTGCGAATCGTGAAATTTAAAAATTAAATTATGTCTGACGTGTCTCTGACGAGTTGTACTCCGTGCTCGTAGCAGAAACTTTAAAATAAAAATAACCAGTCTAGCCGTAGTGAGTTATTGAACTGAAAAACTGGAGTGAAAAGCAGGATAACGAATGAAACCTGCTCTCACTTTCAAATTGTTCGGAAACGGCGAGTCAGAAGATATTTTATCAGGTGTGCATCGAGTGTATATCAAGAACCGTTTGACTTCGATTTAATAATTATCCCGCGGATTTACAAGTTACGGGTTATTAATCAAACAGCGCTCCGTCGTCGCGTTCACACGGATACATCGACCTCAGTAGTTGTGAATATACCCGGGAAAAAAACATCACGTATAAAATTTGCCCAATATGACTATATATACAATTAACATGTCCACAACGAAAAAAAAAAAAAACCGTTATTTACGAATCATATGCAAATACAATCGAACTTATGTTCCGACGGCATCGACATTCAGTTGAACGACATAGCATCACCTTTTTTTCGTACGAACATATACGATCATACCATGCAACCACATATAAACGAAATTCATAAACGATTTTGCATAATTGCGTGCAATCATATATAATAATTTTTTCCCGGATATATAAATATATATATATATATATATAAGATCACAAGTGCCCTCGCGTTTTCCAGAGCAGGAATTTTCGAAACGGCCGGTGCATCCTAAAGATAGACACGGCGATGCGGCAGAGGTCTCAGCGGCCGCTAACAGGAAACACGCCGCGCGCGACGCATCTCCCCCGGCGAGAGTTATTTCGGACGATTCCCCCGTTGGGGATCCGTCGTGAGGTTGCGTCGTTGATGTCCTCGAATTGCCGCGCCGCCCGGACGGACGGACGGACGCACCGCGACCGAACGCACGCGCAACGCGGCGCAGCCGCCACCGGACGACGCGGTGCGCTATGGTATGCGGCGGTTCCTCGCTGCAAAAAGCAAAGCTCGCCTTTTACGTTTCACCTCGCGCTCGTGATAACCCCCGCGGACGGTGGGATATAAGGTTATGCCGCGACTCGGCGTACGCGGCGGCGAATGATCCGCGGGGCAGTCGGGCCGCGCTTTCGTGGGCGGAGAACGCGAGTGACCGTAAGCGATGAAATTTTTAATTGTACGGTGACACATTCCTCGGTGAGACACGGGCAGGTGTGTATGTGTCTTCTCTCTCTCTCTCTCTCTTTCTTCGGATGTGTGTACACAGCCCCACCAGCTGCAACACTCCGGTCTCCGGTTTCATCCGGTCGTCGCGGTCTCGTTCGATCACACGGTGAAACAACGTGTGATGCGTTGCGAACTGAAAACAATCTGAGGGAGCTCCCCCGATGACGGTCGGCAATACGGGTGAGTATATCCTTGTCGCGTTCAGCCGTGATTGATCTCGTGATGACCGTTGAACGATTCGCACGCCTTCCACCGACGGTCGAGACGGTCAGGCCGAGTCGCGATCTGCCCGTCTTCTTCTGAAATTAGCACGTTCGCGCGCCGGAACTCCCGCCGCGTTAATACTATTTCGGCGAGGCTCTCGCGGCGGGGATCTCGCGAGGACTCGCGCGCCCGAAGTGGGGTTATGTTCGAGTAAATTCCGCTTCTGTGTTGTCCGACGAAATTCCCGGCCCCCCGCTCCCGGGGATCGCGTATACGCGTACTTTAAGGGCGCTCGTCGCGACGTTGCGTCGTAAGTCGTCTCGAAATGCAAGATACGTGGGTGATCCTTCAGTTTGCGATGCGCCAATATGGTAAACAGATTTATCAGATGTACGGTCTTGATATCGCGTTAACGTACGAACACTGTTCCGGTGAGTCGGCTAGTTGTATCGGAGATCGATGTGTGAGACTTACGGGATTCTGAGTGAAATTTGACGCTTTCTCACCGCAGATTATCATAAGGCAAGAAAAATGAGTACCTCTCTGACGTCGCTTCAACCAAATAGCCAAAGCTTGGAAAGGCAGAAACATGTCAGGAAAACGACAGAAAGACTTTACAACAGTCTCACCAAAAAGAGGTTTGTTCCTCTGTCACCGGTAGATGTTAATTAGTCAGTCGTATGCGTGATAATCCCCTTGTTGATTTGGTTTCTGATTGTGATACAAGAGAATTAATCCAGCTTAAATATACTTTCAGGAAGGATCCAAAGCACACTAACGTTCAAAGATTGTGGATAAATCAAGAAGACTGCAAGGATGACTTTTGGGCGGCCATAAGACCTAATTATGATTATATTATGGATACTAATTTAATCGACACTTGCAAGGTAAAGTATCTTTTAAAACAGCATGTAAATGTGATGTGAAAATTCGATGAGAAGCGGAAATATACAATTACACAGACGTGTCGCTGCGTGGATTATAATTTTCTGTAAGAAATAAGACAACCATATAGATATTCATTTCCATAATTTAGGAAGCAAACGGTGAACTGACATGGGATGAGACGGACGTATCGACACAATCTTGGAACTTGAAGGAAGTCAGTGGCCAATTTTCAGAGCTTTATTCGTGGTTAAGAATTCTTCAAGAACTGGTCTATTCTAAGGAAGAAAATCTCTTAGATAAGAGCCTTCGTGCAGTAAGTACCAATTTTGTCATGCATTCGAGACGTACGACGGAGAAGTGAGAATAAACGAATCGAGGATGAAATTATAAAGATTTTAATATCATTCAGGCTCATATGGAGGAGCTACGACGCAAGGCGTACAGACGCAAATTGTTCAATGAGCAAGCGGAAAAGTTAATATCTCGCGCCCCTGCTTTAAAAGACGAAGTAGCGTGGCGTGTAGATCACTTGAATGCGAAATGGGAACTAGTTGAACAAATTATGGCACCCATAGACCGACCTGTATCTAGTCAACAAGATATATCTGCAGGTTATTAGCTATATTTTTTTTCGCCGTGTATCTTTTCATGTAACTATAACTTAATAATTTGTCTTAATTCGAGATATTTCAATATTATTACTGTCAGTATTATAAAATAATCCGGATGCTCAAAGATATTGGACATCCGTTATATTAAGAAGACACGAGACAAAGTTACGCAATCGCGATAAGCGCCTCTTATCAGGGAACGTTACTGAATCACACGATTCCGTTCTTACAGATTTCGAACGCGAAGTAAAATGTCTAAGAAAATGGTTACGAGAAATGGAGTCGCGACTTAAACCTCTCAGCTTCCACGTCAATTGGACTCGGTCGGAACTCGAGGAGAAAGCGGAAGAACACATGGTAAGTAACGTGTTTTCCATTTTTCAGTTTATATTGTGACAAAATTACTCGCTTAAAATGCTCAGCTGTGTTCCGTCGCTGAGAAAATTTGTCATGATGTATCTCACCGGCGATATTCCCTATTTTATTTACGCTTCTTCGGACGTCTCGTCGTTATCACGGGTTTGGTTCTTTCATTATGCGTCTCTCCTCGCGTTATGCATGTTCATTTCTGTAGCAAGATTTACATAAAAAGAGATAAGTATTCGATGCACATATTTGGCTTAGTTAATATTCCCACTAGGATTTAGTCGTGAACGAATAATATATTCTAGAGTAGTGTATGTAAAAGTTTCTGTGATTTACATGGAGAAACAAAACGTCCCGAAGCTTCCTTTTGATCATTTAAGCGCCTGAATCTGTTTTTGTATTCACGCGTTCTTACGTATTTTCGTTTTTATTTTTACCAAAATCTCCTTCTGTATTACCATTTTTCCATCGATCTGCATTCTTCATTCATCAATTTACACACACATACACACCGAAGCGTACGTACAAGATTCTCACGCTTCGCAGTGTGCGTGATTTTCTCGCAGCCGGTTCAACCATAAAGAACAAACCGCACGACTCCGTCGCATCAGACGCGCGAAGCAAGCGAAGGAGCAAGGAGAAAAATATATCGCCGGATCGACTCGAACGTTTTGCCCCCTCGCCCCTACGTCATCGTGAATCCTCCACCTTCGTCAGCCGAATTTAATTGTTAACGCCAAAAAGCCACGATAGGCAGTATAAGAGGAAGCTGCGTCGTTCGAGCGGCATGCGTGCTAAGAATAAAGCTGCGTGCGTTGGCGCCGAGCACGTGCTTGTATCGGCTTGAATTCCTGCTATTCTCTCTCTCTCTCGTGCCGCCGCCGACCAACGCTCCGGTTGCCGTCCAACGGATGTAATGGCGTCGTGACGCGAGGACGGGGAGTGGGGGGGAGGGAGGAAGCGAACAGCTCCGACACAGCGCGCGGACTCCGCGCTTGTTGTTTTGTTTGGGCCCCGATCTTTGCCGAAGGCTCGCGTTCGGAGCGCAAACGATGCGCTTCGTTGCGCGCCGGAGAGAGAGACCAGCTGCCTGCCGGCTGCACAAGCCGACAGAGTTCGCCGTTCCACGGTCGCCGCCGGTGGACACGGGCACGTTTGCGCGAGCACGTTGATCCGAGGTGTTCCCTTCCTCCTCCTTCTCCTCTTCTTCTTCTTCTTCCTCCTCATCATCATCATCATCATCATCATCGTCCTCCTCCTCTTTCTCCTCCTCGCTCATCTTCCTCCTTCGTTCGTTTGTATATGTGTGCGCCCCCCCCTCCCCCCGTCGTTATTCTTTTCCTAGAGCGTCGCTATATTTAAGTACGAAACACAGAACGCGGGTCCCCTTCGTGCTTCGATTTATCGCGGCATCCCTCGTGAAACGTGTTGTAAGTTTTGTGCGGCCTCCAGTGCGCGGCGTTCCGGCTCTCCTTCGCCGGCATCAAGCGTCTTCTCCCTCCCACCCTGTTACTCCGCTCCCTCTCTCTTCGCCTCGTCGTCGAAAAACAACGGGGGGGTTCTTCTCCGCGAAGAGAGTTACGGTCGCGGTGCCGCGTGGGTCAGCCAGACGAGTCTCTTCCCTACGGTCTTTTCTTCCTTCGAGCTTAACCGGCCGCCACCTCCGTTGCCGCTCTCTCTCTCTCTCTCTCTCTCTCCCTCCCTCCCTCCCTCCCTTCTTTCTCCGCCTCGTACTCGTTTTTCCGTCCGTCCGTCCGTCCGTCCTCGTCCAACCGAGAGACATACCTCAGGCTCGACGCGCACCGGAACCGTCGGCGCGCGGAGTCCATTCGACGTGGTTTCTCCGCCGCCGCGAAATCACGAGAGCCGCGCGCGCGCGCAGCGTGGCGAACGCGGAGAGTCATTCATGCTCGTCGTCGTGACGAGCAGCGCGACGAAACCGGCGGACGAGGAGAGGAAGAAACGCGCGAATCGTCGCCGTTGCTCCCTGGCTGTGAGAAGAAAGGAAGGGAAAAGAAGAAACGGTCAGCGGGAAAAAAGAGAAATGCGCTTCGTTAGCCGCGAAGCCGCCAGAGGAGTGTCGTCGTAGGCGGCAGTGCCGGGTTACACACACACACACACACACACATATACACACGCGCGCGCACACAGTGCGATGCTCGCTCGCTTCGTCGTCTCTGCCGCGGTTTCTGGCGGTGCGGAGACGCGCTCGGTATCTCAATCGCCGGCCGACACGTCGTCGTCGTCCCGTTTTCCGTGCTGACGTGCATCAGTGCGCCGATCTTCTTCCCAGGACGCAGTGGATATGCATTTCGGTAAGAAAGAGAGAGAGCGCTTATCCGACGTGATTGTCGACGGACCTTTGTCGTCGCTTTATCTAATCGCGCGCTAAAGAGAAAGAGAGAGAGAGAGCCACGTGCGCGAATTCACGTCGGCACGTCGAATTACGTGCGAAATTGCGCAGACTGCTTGGAAAATACGTGGGAAGGGGAGAGCAGGTTGTCGCGCTTCCCTGCTGCACGAGTTCGCTCCGGTCGACTCGTCGTCGTCGTCCGGTTTACCTCCGCGACTCGCGCCTCTGAAGACGCACGTGGATCGTGAAGAAAAACTCGCGGTGATTTTAACGCCAGGCAGAGGTATTTAGCACGCGAAAGTCGGAGGTTTCCGATCCGGAGAGAGAGACGCCGTACTTCGGACTTGTCCAAATATCGCGCTCGCATTGTTGTTGCTAACCGAATGCGTCGATTCACTCGCCGCCGCTTCGCATAGCCTGGGTGGAATTTTCATCAAAAGCGATACCTTGAGCCAGTTTCTTCTATGCTATTCGCAGCCGACGCGTGTATTCACGCGGCTGAGAGATTGATCGTGATAGATTTGTGTCCCGTTATTGTTGCTGTACAAAGAGCACAACAAGACAATGAGGCAATTACAGTGAGTGCTGTCAGGCCGATCTTAATAATGCATCTCTCTCTCTCTTTCTCTCTCCCTGATGTAATCACGGCTTGTGTCTTCACTTGAACTGCGTCGTTGTACATCATATATATATATATATATATAAATATATAAATTTATTAGCAATGTCGTTATGTAATTACGCGAGAGATAAGAAGGAGGGAACTTTTCTAATGGAAAATAGTGTTTCGACGCGCAATGTCATCGCTCGTTTGCATCTCGATTCTCGGCCTCTCGTGTTTGTTAATTAACATGAGGAATTTCGGAGGCGTAAATAGTACCTGTCAATGTCGAGACTATTAAACTAAATAGAAAAAAAAGAGAGAGAGAGAGAGAGAGAGAGAGAAATGATGCGGGATGCTATGTTAATGTGGTCGATCGTTACGTATCTCTGCTCGCGCATATTTAATCGCGCGTCACACTCTCGTATCGATCCCTGCGTTTAAACTAGGATTTTTCTACACTCCAGCTCCGAGTTCACACATACACACACACATACGCGCATATTGTTGTTCGATTTGGTCGCACAGACAGTCCGCACGAGTCGCGTGGATGCTCCGTTGAACGACATTCGTGGATGTTGAAGTCGGTCGTTCGAGGTCAAGCGAGTTCACCGTGGAATTGTCCGTATAAAGAGAAAGTAGATCTTTGTGGAATTTTATGGACTCGGTCCGCGCGCGGCGGAGTATCCGGTAATTGCGTGCCCGGATCGCTGGACGTTAAATTGAATTTGAATATAATTCCCCGTCCCGTGCGAGAGGGAGAATAAGAAATGAAACGGGAAAAAGAAGGAAGGGAAATGCGTCGTAATTTTCCTTATCATTAAATAACCCAGTTATGCGCGCCGTACACCTGTTCGCGTACTCGCGCGTGCGTACGCGCTGTGTGTGCATGCGCGTGTGGTTACGGTTATAAATCAAAAAGAAAGTCATATCTCCCATTTATAAGAAAAAAAGTATATCTCGAAAGTATATCTCCCGACGAGGTCCGGTTGGGTCTTCTTTTTTTTTTCTTGAGAAACGGAATGCGTTTGTCGCTCCGACTTTAACGGTCGCTCAATTAAAGCGGGCTGATTAGCGTTTGGGTAATTAACGTTTCGGGACGACCGGCCGACGTGTGGTGGTGATGACGGCTCGTAAGATGCGCGAGACGAGCTGTAGAAGGGAGGAAGCCCGCGTAAAGCCGGACAGTAAAGCTCGGCTTTTGAGCCGGTTGCGAGTATTTTTGGAAGCGCACGGGGCCGCTCGCCTCTCGCGCGCGCTCCTCCGTCCTCCCGGTGCGACATTAGCACGATTTGCCCTCCATCCGAATGAGAAACGATCTCCGATAGAGAACGTTGTTAGAAACACGCGGATTTTTCGCGCGCGACCGTGGCGAATTTTAAATAGATTAAACGCCGGCGAACGGCCGCACAGGTACGGCGCGCGCGCCGTCCATTCTTCGGTTTTCCGTTCCGTACAATCGCGCGCCGCACCGTTAAGATTATGGATCGGAGAGATCCTTTATCGATACGATAACGCACGCACGTTATCGCCGAGATATCTCGCGTCATCCGCGCGAGATGTTTTGTATCGAATTCGACTTTTTACGCCAGTACTTTTACCGAGCATCACGCGTGCGTCCGCGACCGTCACACACTTGATTAATCGAAAGTTATTTTCAAATCGCAAAATCGCGCTCGCCCAAGCGTCTATTTGTATTATATATCTGAAATTTTCACCGCATAGAGAAACACCTCCGCGCCGATATTTCTCTGTTTTTTGATCTTTTTCCTGATTCGAGGGTTAATGCGCGATAACTCGGTTTATCGTCGTCCCCGCCGAGACAATACGCGGCTGCAATACTAAACGTCGGCGATGACGCGATAAGAGAGACCGCGCGGAATAACAGTAAAATGTTAATTGAATTTCCGCTCGCGAAACGACCTCGTGTTTGTACGCGTTCGATCGCGCGATACGCTTAACGAGCCCTATCGGCGAAACGCGATTTGGTCACTTCGCTAGGAACTTGTAGCGAAGCACGGTGCGCCGCGGTGCACG